TGTTATTTCAAACTGAACATTTCATGTTTAAATGTCTGTTAGATTACACATGACCCTGAGATGTACAACTCCTGTAGTTTGGCCTACTAGATCTTTGGCCTTGTTTTAAAACCAGCTTTCCACACTCTCCAGACCAAGTAACAAACATCTGTCTTTTGCACAGACCAAATTTTTTATTTGTTGGGCTGGTTTCTTTTTTAAAAGACTATTTTGTTCAAAAAGATTATATTTAGATGGTTCCAGCTCATGTAATCATTTAAAATGATTTATTCTTTATACTTTATCATTTATTGAATTACATTTATCCCAGAGAAGCTGTGTCACGAGTTGTTTTATAAGTCTGACAATCAACAAAAATGTCTCGTTTAGCTAACATGGACAAATTTGTTTGCTTCTTTCTCCATACTCTTTGATGTGTGACTGATGTCATGGCTGATAAGATACAAACTACTAATAACTACGAATAACTAAAAGAAAGCTATGCTATGCTAGTTAGCATATAATTACTTGTATAGATAGATACAAGATATATAGATTTATGAAAAGTTTAAGAAAGACATTTATGAAAGGAAATGCCTGTACTATTTTATCTGAATTAGCCATTGCTGTTTGTAGACCCAGACTTATCCAACCTCCTATTTAATTCCCCACTAACATCCTAAAATGTTTGTAAGTCACTGGTGGAAACGTGCAGCAGGAATATATGGTTACAATCCCTCTGTACGCCTCTGTTTGAGTAAAACTTAGCAAAAATTGCAACTCTGGGATGCATTAAAGTTTCATTTGTTTCCTGAATAAACTTAAAAGACTAGTTTAGTCATTTTATTAGCTAATAATGTGTTCTTTTCACACCTGTATGCTGTTTTCTCACCCAAGAGTTGTTTTATAAGTCTGACAATCAACAAAAATGTCTCGTTTAGCTAACATGGACAAATTTGTTTGCTTCTTTCTCCATACTCTTTGATGTGATACTGATGTCATGGCTGATAAGATACTAACTACTAATAACTAAAAAGAACATCATAGCAAAAATAAAAATCTTTAGAAACGGTTTTGATTTGTTAACACTTGGAAAATGTGAGATTTACAGAACATCAGGTGTATGTGGGAATATTTAGCTATGAAACCAACCATTTGATTAAAACAAAATGGCATCTGCCATGTAGACAGCACTACAGTCTAAATGCTCAGGACTGGAACAACAGGAAAAAAAAAAACAATTTCAACTGTTCCCATTATTTATGTGTCTGGTCTACTGCCAGTCATGCAATAAAATGAATAGTATGTGGTCTTTAAGTTGTTTGTGAAAAGAAAATAATGCCCTTTTGAACACAGCAGAGCAAGAGATACTTTATGCTTTACTTACAATGAGTTGCAAACATGCAGTTGCTTTTGCTAAGCTTTTGTTTTGACAGTGCCAGACTGTATGCACACTGTCTTACCATGACAGTGATACAGTTTGTGTAGGACTTCCCCTCTGAACAAACACACTTTGTACTATAGGTGTCATTTTCTAATCACATCCTATCTACAATCCTAACCTTCCAATCTCAGGAAGTCCCATGTAGATGACAATGATAACTAAAGCCAGTGAAAAACAAAAACAATGTGCAGTTGAAGCCCTCCCAACCCCCATCATTCCCCACCCTCATTCTTCATCCCCGAGGGGTGGCCCACTCTCTTAATCCCCCTTTGCTGTGCTTGGTTCAAAGCAAAGGCTAAAGCACATGTCAAGGAACAGCAGGCATAGCCGCCACTCACCAAGATATCAAGTCATCCACACGGATCTGTGAGCTCACCGCAACCAGGATGCCTCACATGTAAGTGCATTTAGTAAACCTGCTGTCCAAACACATCAGATCAACAAGCTAAGTCCAACAAGTACAGATCATCCTCTTCCAAAGTGTAATTCAGTTTCTCATTTGATTTAGATATGAAAGGAGTAAACTTTCCCACCCGCTGAAAACTTAAAACATCTGAGACAAGACAGTTCCCAGAGCTGACTGGATGGCCACTGAACCAGTGGAACTGATGTTTTTATAAAAACCACAACTGTATGTTTATGCAAGCTAATAAGAGAGTTAGTCAGGTGCATTAAAGGGAGATACAGTAGTTTGAGTGAGATGTCTAAAACAATGTGACAAAAACTTATTTGTGTATATAAAGCTCATCTTACAAAGCTGCTAATCCATCCAGTCAAAATTTCATGAAACATTTTTGGCTTCATGTGTTGTAGGTGTTGCATGCTGGGTTGAGTTTTATAGCTGCTTGTATAGAGGCAGATCAAAATGTTAATAAAGTGGAGAGAAAATGTTACACAGCTTTGTTGTGGCCTATAGTTGGTTTTCTAGGTGGATTTTAGTGTGTTCAGACATTGTTTTCTTTTATTACACATATTTTAATGCGCTTTTACAGTACAGTATGAACAATTTTTCAAATCTGTACAGTTACAAATGTGTGCTTGAGCAGATAGTTTTGATGATCAAACGAATGAATTTATACTCCGAGTGCAGAGACAATGCTGCTAAACCAGTCTAGTTAAATGACCTCAGAGCAATACTAGGGTAAAAGTACAAGTATCTTATCATAAAATTGGTAATTTTGTAAATTATTAAATTTCGTACAAGTTGGTCTTCTAAGAATAGTACTTGAGTAAAAGTCTTAATGCATCTGACATATTGTACTTCAGTATGAAAAGTAATTTTCTGATACAAGTAATAAAAGTAGAATGTCTAAAATGCATAATGACTATAATGTTATTTTAAAATGTTAATGTTCCAATAGAAACTTCACCTGGACCAATCATTCTGTGTTTGTGTCTCTTTCCCGTCCTCACAAACCTCACCAGTCAAACCAGACAGCCACCAATCTGAGCCTGTTTCTGCTAAAGATTGCTTTGCTGAAGGGAGTTTTTTTTCTTTCCACTGTCTCCAACATGCTGCTCAGGGTGAGAGACTGCACCATAGTGAAGATTTGATGTAACCTGTTAGCTTCCATAGAGCGGTAACCTTTGCTAATTGGCATTATACAGCATAATGTACTGTTAATTTATTGTATATAATAAGAACTGAATTGATTATAAATTAATTTGAATCTGTATCTGAATTGAATTAATGATTTGGACTTTTTTTCTTTTGTATAATGCTCTGAGATAACATTTATTGTAAAGTGAAAAGAATTGCTGATGAATGTCAGATGCATAAGGATGCTGTCACAGTCTTTGTCTTTGTGTGCTTTGTTTTCCCTGTCTTCTGTTCTGTCTACTCTCACTCCCTCTGCCAGTTTGTGTTCTCCAGCACTCTCTCTCTCACACCTGTTACCATTCTCTAATCACTCAGGTGTTTTCCGTTTTTCACTCTACTCTGCCCTATTTAACCGGTCTTTCTTCACTACTTCCTCTTCCGTTCATTGCATGGTTTGTCCTGGTTGTTCCCCTCGAGCTCCTGTGTGGTTTTTTGTTATTCACCGCCACAACAGCTTTTGCTTTGATTAATAAATTATTTTATTCTTTAATCTCTCGTACCTGCCTGCATTTGGATCCACCTGCACCACGAACTTTACAGATGTCATCACTCTACCCATCCGGGAAGTGTTGTGTAATCATTTTCAACCATCATCACTTTACCATGCATGTTTTTAGATTGTAGTGAGAAACTGAAGTACCAGGAGAAAACCCACACATGCACAAAGAGAACATTCAAACTCTTCTTCTAACCCAGAACCTTACTTCTGTAAGGCAACAGTGCTACTCACTGCTACAACAGCCAGTCTGCTGTAGAACTAGGTCTATGTGTGTATTGCTGACAGCATGGAACATTCATGTAAAAACATTTAGTTTGTGATATCATCTTATTAAAGTCAGCAATGGGAATCTGATCTACCTGAACCACAGACCAAACCAGTGGGATAAAATCTGCAACTATATTTCCTAGAGCAGGGGTTCTTAAAGGGACCTCCGATTACTTGTAACATTAGACATTATTTGATAAATAATTACTTCAATTATAAAACAAGTATTATAAAAATACAGTAGGCTGTTTAGTTTTTACAAGTGTTAAAAAATATTTGGTCACTTGGACCACATTTATTAACACTGCGTAGCACACCGAGTAAATGACGATGTTCACTGGGTTTTCTGGTGCAAGGTTGTTAGAGCTCTGTCCATCCAAGAGGTTAATGTTGGAAAATATCTGACGATCAGCTCTTTTAAATGAAACCAGAGYTMCTTGACAGGGAGGAGAAATGACTCAGCAGCAACTGAAAACACTGATGGAGAACTTTTGCTAGCGGAAGTCTAAGGTTCTTCAGCACTACCGCTCTAGTAATAAGAAAGTGTATTGCAACTAAGTCATTTGAAAACCAATGACATCACACAGTCCTCATGGTCCACCGCTGAAAAAAGCATTTTTCTTTTGAGGCCCTCAAAGTGGTGATCATGGCCCAGTTGTGGGTCGCGGCCCAAGGCTTAAGAATTTTCTTGCCTGGACTGTTGGCTAGCAATGCTTCAGCATACATGTCACCACCTTTAGACGTTTATCTGTATAATGAGCCCCAAAAATCTGTATTTTTTGCAAAAAATCTGTACTACTTGCACCCATGCGCAGGGGTGGGGGGTGCTGTCGACTGCGGAGATGACAGCACCTGCTGAAAAGCAGGAAGGAAGCAGAGCTGAAGACGTGGAGAACTTATTTCTAATTTTATTTCTAGCAGAAGAACGGATTGGAAAATGGTTATTTGATGTTATTGTTTTTTTAACGTCCTCCAGGCTCTGACATGTTAAACTAATTTGAAACTGAGGTTTTGAAAAAAAAAATCTGTAAACTTCAAAAAAATCTGTAAGATTGCTCTATATGTCCGTATGCCTGCAAAATAATGGAAATCCATGTAAATTACGGGCAATCCCTACAACTTGACGTATGCTTCAGGAAGTTTAAAGCCTAAATATGGAAACAAGGAATGAAAGGTTGTACGTAACAGTGAAAAACACAGCTGATGCAGACCTTGCCTAAAGTTGTCCAGATTGCGGAACTCCACAAGATTGTTGCCATAGTAATAATTAGTCACGTAGATCTTGGAGTCCTTAGCCAGAGGATCCTTCATCCAGGCTCCCTCATTGCGCCCATAACTGTGCTGTTTTACTGGCTGCTCAATGGAAGCCAGAGTCCCCTCACAGTTAAGGATCTTCCCTGGAAGAAACAAGAACATTCAACCTGCGTGCCTAGGAAGGATTGAGGTGCAGTAGCATGGGTCTAATGTTATGTGGAGGAAAACCTTCCCATGTTCCTGTTAAACTGAACACTGCAGACACACTACTGTACGTACACACAGCACACACCTGCTCTATGGAGACTGGGTCGACTGTTGTTGTTGGAGTTGTCCAGCACCAGCATAATGGTTGGAGCCGGTCTTTCGGACACTGGTGTGCTTTGGGTGGTGGTGGTGGTGGTGGTCTCAGCAGTGGTGGTGGTTGTGCTTCTCCTGGTTGTGGTGGTGCTGCTGGCAGCAGAGGTGGTGGGAGCTGCAGTGTTGTCGACAGGCTCGGTCTCAGTGGTCTCCACAGTTTCTAGGATCATTTCAGCTCCTCCATCCTCAGACTGGTTTTCTGTGACATGTTCCACTGAGGTGGTTTTATCTGAGTGGTCTGAAGGAAAGAGAAGCTGTTAGTCAGGACAAGAGATCAACAACCTAAAATATTTGGATTTAAAGGATTTGTTTACATGGAAGACCTAACTGATGGCCTAACAAGGTCAGAGAGGCCTGAGTCTGAGTGCTGGCAGAAGAAAACACCACAGAAGCCTTTCAGAGCTGCAGACCAAAAGCTTCTTAATCTTGTTAGTGAAGTGACTTCAGAGCTGTGGTGAATGTACTTTTAATCAGTCTTTTAAATGTCCCCTACTGGCTGCTGTGTTTCAGGAGTTTACATAAAAGGTTTAGCAATGTGTTACACACTGATGAAATAATTCCAGCTTTCTTTATTTTACTACTTTATTGTTCTTACAACTTTTTAAAAGTGAACACAATTTAATGATAGATACATAGACATGATGTCAAACTGGAAATGTTAGATGAAAAACAGTAAATAACACTATAAATAAAATTACATGTTTTTACAATTCAGTCTGATTGTCATAGTGGAGTTTTTGTTTGAGTTTTCCTTCTGTCTGTCTCAGGTGTGTTCTGTTTAGTGTGACTGTGTTGCCCTTGTCTCCCCAGGTGTTTCCACTTCTTCCAATCCGTCCTCTGTGTATTTAAGTTCTATTCTGTTTGTCTGATGGTGGGTGCATTGTCTCTTGCCAGGTCCTGTCATGTCAGTAGGCTTTCAAGTATTTTGTGAATCACCTATTTTGCAGTTTCTGGGTTTTTTGATGACCTATGCCAACTAAGCTGAAGTTTTGCCTGTCCAGGGAAGCAAGCTTAATAAACTTTTCTATTTTTGAGTACGGTGTCCCCATCTCATGAGTCGCACACCCCCGAGCACTCTACCTGACAGAATACACCCACAGTCAGATTTTCCTGTTATTTCCTGATAATCTACTACAACTGGGGGCAGCTGTGGCAGAGTGGTTAGGGGAGTTGTACTGGAACCGGAAGGTCACCAGTTCAATCCCCCGTCCATCTGTCTCAGTTTTTGTGTCCTTGGGCAAGTCACTTCAGCCCTAATGCCTCTGCTGTGTGTCCCATCAGTATATGAATGTGATTGGCACTGATTAGTCTCCATAGATGATTGTACATGTTAGCTTTGTAGAGACCTAATAGAGTTGCTGTGTGAATGGGTAAATGAGGACACAGATTGTAGTGTGAAGCTCTTTGAGTGTCCTGGTTGGCTAGAAAGGTGCTATAGAAGTACAGTCCATTTACCATTTACAACTCGTTTTGTAAGTAGTCTCTTACTACACCTGCTATTCAGAATCTGTATCACACTCCTGACTGCTAAAACAAACGAGATAAAGCTGATTTTTGTAGATTTCTCCTCAGCTTTTTTACTAAATTCATCATTACATTTAGGTAAAAAAAAACTTCTATCCTTTAAATCTTGATACACATTTATTGAAAAGCATTTTCATATTTTTAATGGTGTATGTTTAATTCGCCTCCTGCAAGCTGGAGAAGCTCATCATGGCCCAGTTGTGAATTTGTTTGTGGAACGGTGTGACAACCACTTCATAAAGCTGAATGTACACCTGCTGAGAGCATGGAGGACTATTAAAACCTGGTGCAGAGGATTTACAGTTCCTCAGGAGATAAACATTAACTGTATGTTGCCACAAATACAAAATCAAAGACATTACAAAGAACATTTGTGTTTTCTGTGGATTTGAGGAGATTTCCTCAATTTATTTTATATTTAGGTTCTAAGAAAAGAAAGTGTCCATTTTCCTGCTTGTTTTACTGGTTTCTCTGCTCTAACATACCTGATTGTCCGATTAAATTACCTCTACAAGTTCTGCAGAAGTTTGTTACAGGTGTGGAGGTGTTGGAGCAGAGAAACCTAAAACATCCATAGTGATTCTCCAGGACCAGGACTGGACACTCCTGCTGTAAACTTTCAGCTCAGGGGGCCGGCTGGATAACAAGACTCAGATGGAAACAATAAGAAATAAGAAATAAAAGTGTAACGAAGCATTTGGAGACTACTAATTATCTAAATGTTAACTAAATACTTTTTAAAAGTGATTTTACGAATTAAAACTATTGTTTCATTTTATGCCTTGCTTTTTATGGTGAATTTTGGTTTCTATTGTTATTTGTGTGTTTATTTATTTTTATTAAAAAACCAAATGGCTGTATTAAAGGAAGTCTCCTGGCTCGACTACAGTTACATTGTAAGCTGCTTGTCAGATGTGCGTGGAATTACAGTAGAGTTCCTTTCTTTACTGCATATTGTGGCCACATGGTAAAAATGACAGCTACAAAGCCCTTCCTCTAAGATTTTAAACATTTAACTGGTTTTCATTAAAAAAAGCTGTGTAAAAATCTTTAAATTGTTTTCTTGGATTAGATGTGACAAAACACCAAGTGTCTGATAAAAAAAACCCAACATCAGCATGGCAACAAGAGAAAAAGTTTGTAAAATGCTCAGGAGGTGCAGCAAACACCCAAATCACCATTACCAAGAGCTGACTGTAATGAAAAAGAGATTTTCTCCTGACAGAGTTTTGAACCTGGCTCGTTAAAAGTGATCTAGAAGATCTCCCTTTAGACGATTATTAGCATAAAGTTTATTGATGCAAAACAAATTGACCATAAACCCAACAGGTTGGCTCCAGTTCAGCTGGTTTGATCAATGAGAATATCAGCTAAAACGTGATGTGTGGATTATTTATCTATGTTCAGTTTAACACATGGATTGCACATTTTAGAAAATGCTTTTTTGCTTTAAAACATTCAGATCAAAGGCTGCATGAATAATTGCTGACAGATTAATGATGTTCTGTCAGTCTTTTAGAAAGGGTCATTTTTGGATGCTGTATCACACGTGTCCAACATTTCAGTTGTGTAGCAATAAGGTGAGAGAAAGCTGAAGTTTTCCTATTGTGATATAATGTGTCATCTATTCCCATTATTGTTATCAGATCTCAACACACCAGGGCTGAATCTGTTACTTGCAGAATTTTTAATCACAAACATTTTCAATAAAAGGGAAAAAATAGATAATAAAAATTAATTTAACACACAAAATATGGGAATAATATTTTGAGCTATTCGTCCATCCCTCTATTTTCTGTACATGCTTATTCCTTTCAGGGTCGCATGGGTCACTGGTGCTCATATCCAGCAGTGACAGTGCAAGGGGTGGGGTACACCCTGGACAGGTCTCCAGTCCATCACAGGGACACACATAGAGACAAACGAGACAAACAACCATTCACTCTCTCACTCACACCTAGGGACAATTTAGAGTTATCAGTTAACCTAACAGTCATGTTTTTGGTCTGTAGGAGGAAGCCGGAGTACACGGAGAAAACCCACACATGCATGGTGAGAACAAACTCTACCCAGAAAGGTCCCCAGGCTGGGATTTGAACCGGCGACCTTCTTGCTGAGAGGCATCAGCTCTACCAACTGCCCACAGCCGAGCTAATTGCTCTGAATTATCTGAAACAGGTAGAGTCCGCAAAACTGCGGAAGCTGAACCATTCTTCCCTCACTCGTGAACAAGATCCCAAGATATTTGAACTCCTCCACTTGAGGCAGAACTTCACCCCAAACCCAGGGGTGAGAGCAATCCACCCTTTTCCAATTGAGGACCATGGACTCAGATTTGGAGGTGCTGATCCTCATCCCAGCTGCTTCACACTCAGCTGTGAACTGCTCCAGTGAGAATTGAAGATCACAACATGATGACACCAACAGAACCACATCATCTGCAAATAGCAGAGATTAAATCCAGAGGCCACTGAACCGGACTCCCTCTAACCCCTGGTTGCACCGAGAAATTCTGTCCATTTAAGTTATGAACAGAATCGGTGACAACGGGCAGCCCTGGTGGAGTCCAACTCCCACTCTGAAGGGGTCCGACTTACTACCAGCAATGCGAACCAAACGTAAGGTTATGAATATAACCACGATTCCTTGAAGGAATGGAACGAAGTACAACACACAGTTGTATATGGGACACACTCGCCCTCGCGCGCCTGGCTGAAGCCACCTCTAATCACATCTTTAGACTGGTGACGTGGTGACGTTGAACGTCGGGTGACAGGCTCCACCTTCACCCTATAAGTTCGGAGTCACCAGCGTCATTATTCAGTTAGATACCGCCCTTCACCGAGCCTTTTGTGATGTGGGGCCAACAACGTGTTGTACTTCGTTCCATTCCTTCAAGGAACCGTGGTTATATTCATAACCTTACGTTCCTTTTCAGTCATTTCACTCAGTACAACACACAATTGTATGTGAGACTTGTCAAAGCGCCCCGCAGAGCAGTATCAGACCTGAGTTAAGTAGAGTGCCTGAGTAAGTATTGTACTAATGCAGAGCTTTGGACCCGGCAGAAAGTACAGAATGAGCCACCGAAGGTGCTGTTACATCCAGGCTGTAAAATCATGCAAAAGTGTTTGGTGAGGCCCAGCTGGCCGCAGCACAAATGTCACTCACAGGTACCCCTTTAAAAGGGCCCAAGATGTCGCTACACCCCTGGCGGAGTGAGCTTTAACTCCAAGAGGGATTGGAAGGTTTTTGCTGCT